AATGGTAATAAATTACAATTTAGACATCGAGTAATTGTAAATATAATTCCTTACTATTTTTCAGTAACGTGTACGGGTCTCAGGGATGAGCAGTACTTCAAATACAAGTATTTGAAATACGTATTTCAGATACTTTGTGTATTTTGCATTTGTATTTAATTAGAAATTGGGTATTATATTTGTTGTGTGTATTTAAATATTAAAACGTGGGTATTTCAAATACAATTGTAATTAGATACAATTTTGTGGGCGAAAATACATCCCTCAAATTTATTGTCACTGTCCAGAGCAGGAAGAAAACTACGTTCTGCACCGAATGCAGTGTCTCCCAATCAAGCACAAGCGTTTAGTGACTGTGATTACGGTGCTAGTCCAGGGCAAGAATAGTGACGAAATCGATGTTCACAGGCACACTGGCTAAATAAGTGCCTGTGACAACTTGTGATGTTTTCCAGCCTGATTTCCATCCATATTTTGCCTGGAACATTCTAAATGCGCGGGTCGTCTAGATTTTCGTGACTGGTGCGAGCTGCAACAATAAAAAATTCTCTAGCTAGTGCTGCGCGTCTTGGGCGTCTCGGTTCTTTGTTGGTCTATACCAAAATGTAATCGACAAAAAAAAGCTGTCAAAGAACGCTGCTTGGCCGCCGCCTTGTTGCTGATGATAATGCAGCTGGTGCGACTCTCGCGCCCCCTATCAGCTAGACATTTTCCGCCACTTTCTTGGGCTGTTGAAGCTAGGGGTGTCGCGAACTTTTGTTGAATTGGATTTTAAGGTCGAACTTTCGGGGTGCGACTGCTTCGAAGCGGTTCGACGAACCTTCGACCTTTTAACCAGATTCGACCGGTTCAACTTTGTGGACAGTGTGGCCAGACCTTGACACAAGCATGTCTAGATTTGGAGAATTGTTTTTATGAAAAGGGTGTATTTTAATTTTATTAACAGTTGCAATAAAATAAACTAATTATAATCACTGAAGAAGGAAATAACTTCTTTTTTTTGTACTGTATTAACTGAAATAACCAATCAGTGCTGCCCTTAATTTATCCCTTAGCCATCACCATCCAATCCGAAGCCAACTGACCAGACTGTCACGCATGCGCATAGCAGTCAAACTTGAGTCGACCTTTTTGTCGAACGTTTTACTAGAACTTCAAAAAAGTCGAACCTGGTTGAACTCGAACCTAGACCGGCACAAAAAGGGTACGCAGCATGCCTAAAAGTCACGTGGAAACTTTCAAGAGAGGCTAGAAAACTTGAAATGCAAAACCGCAAAACACAGGCAAAACACCCCTAGTTGAAACCTGTTCAGCGCGATTCTTTCTCTGTGTTTTGCGGTTTTGCATTTCAAGTTTTCCGACATCTCTTGAAAGTTTCGACGTGACTTTTAGGCATACTGCGTACCCTTTTTGTGCCTTTCACGGTGTGAAGTAGGGCAGGTAAGTGCCTGCCATTCAAGCGTTTCTGCTTGACATTCACGGGAAACCGAGGAGAGGAAGGACGTCAAACGGTCCTCGACGCCATTTTGCGAACCATGACAACTGTTCTTCGCGCGCTCTCTTGCCCGCACTGCGGAGACTTCCATTCCAACACACACACGATGTGCGAATGTCCGCACACTTTACAACAACTCCCCCCCCCCCCCCCCCCCCCCCCCCCCCAAGTACCACCCCACCTCTTGGGAGAGCTGGCTCGTCCCTCCAGAAGATCACCAACCCGGCCTACTGCAACTACTGATCCGGCACCTTCACAACGTGCTTGGGGAAGAGTGGTAGATCTAGTCCACGAGCGCCGGACCAGGTGTTTGTTTTATAATAAATATTTCCTTTCTCTCTATCTCTCTTCTCCTCCCAGAGTTAATTCACGTAGAGTCCTTCTCAGTCATAGCCAAAAATAGTTGTTCGGGTTGGGGTAGGGAATGGGTCAGTCACGTCCGTTCCTTTGCCCTCGGGCCGGTGTGAAAAAAAAAAAAAAAAAAGCTCTCCCCAAAACGTGCCCCAAAACGAAGTTCGTTTGGATTTTGTTTGATCGTCAAGATGTGACTGGTCGTCGACACTGTAGTGTAGAATATATCGTTCGAATGTTAACACTTGCTAAATTGCATGTCCGAGTCCTTTTCATCGGTCAACACGTCATTTGTGCGCGTGAAATATGCATGCCTCTCCGCTATCTTCTGTTATAAATTATTTTCGATAGCTAAGCGCTTTGTCGTTTGACGAGCGGTTGAGCGGGTGGCGCCGTCAAAATTTATCGTAAAATAAATCAATGATTCCAGTCGCATTCGTTCTGTCGCACGCGTACCCAACAAACATAGCTTGCAGTTTTTTTTAATCTGGTGCAAGGCTTTTTTACTGTTTTCTGGAAAATACATACACCATGAAACGCAACGCAAAATGTAAGACCAGAATTTAGCCGCCAGATGTTTGAAATTGCGCCTACGCAGGCTGCGCCTATCGAAATCATAGTCCACTCTCTTAGGGTAAGCAGGGACGCCGATGAGAAACTAACCTCAAACCCAGCGACTGGGCTCGAAAAAGGTTGTATTGTCCCTGGGCAGAGTGCTTTTTGAAAATATGTATATTACCATTTAAAAAAAAAAAGAAAAAAAAAATCTGGCAACACGAAAAAAAAAAAAAAAGAAGCAAGCTAGATTGACCTGAAAACACAGGGCAGCGACGCCATCTTGAAGGATGTTCCCGGTTTTTTCACGGTCGGCCGTGCACAAGTTTCGTGGTAAAGTGAGGAGGTCGTGGGTGAAATACAACTGCCGCTTCCTTATCACACGCAGATAAATTCGTTTTTTGTTCGTCTCAGCGTAAGAACAAGCGACTGAGTGATTCATAAATGTATTTAAAGCGAGAGTCAATTAGTTCCCCGAATGCTGTTTATATGCTTCGGCGATGCGTTCGCGGCCACATTGGTGTGAATGCAGTGTTCGTGGCTGCACGAGTTTCAAGGTTTTTAGTTGCATCATCCTGTTATTCTAGACCCTAGGGTCTATTCCCGATCAGTCGCGAGCTTATGTAACACGCAGTGTACAGTAGTCGGCGATCCGGTGACTACGGGCCCACCGATCGCTAGTCGCTGCGCATGCAAGTTCACTAACTGCCAAACTCACCAGCAGGTGACATATAGCACCCGAAGCAGGTAGGTTTTATGTATAGAAGCGATTTTGCGAATGCAATGTTCCTTTCCGTTTCCTTTGGCGCTAGCATATCATCTGGGTAGAGTGGTTATGTGAAAGCCGAATTTGATTATACCCTTGTTTTAACTGGGCTGTTTTTAACTGATTCTAATATTTTCACACACAAAATAAAAAGTAACTACCTAAACATTTGTTGCTCAAAATTTTATTTATTGTTCAATAAGTCGTATTCACGACCAAATAATTTTCCTGACTTGTTGAATGTAGTTGTTAAAACGAACAATATCGGGGAAAAACAGTTAGTGTACGGATTAGCTACAAAAATATTACAATAAGGTCACTTTGAATTGTAGTTGACAGTCTGACGCCGCCCTACATATAGCTGTATGAATCTGCAAGACAAGCACGCGAGACCGTAGTTTCACCTACCTTCCACGTATACGAACGCAACTACTCACACGAATCGCAACTCTGTCGTTTATCACCTCATTCGGAAATCTCCGCGTCAAACGAGCCTTGCCACGTCGAACAGGCGGTCGCTATCCAGATCGTGGCTGCTTTGAGTACGGACATCACGGCAGTACAAGACAAATAGTTTCTTCACTAACGATCGGGCAACAAAACTACTCTCCCTTTGACTTTACACGGCGAAAAAAAAAATTGTTATTAGTAGTGCCACTAAATAAGCTACGCTTCAGAGTAACAACACTTGGCCATACTGGGCGTGTTCCAAAATTTACTCGATCTTACTCCAGGGTAAAGGTTTTCTACCTTGGCGTTCTAAAACCTATACCCGCGTCCAGCGTTTTTCAATCTGTGTTGTCACGTGACACAACCCAACGGAGTAACTCAGATCCATTTGGGTAAGATTTGGAACACAGCCCTTGTGTCTCAAAATCATGGTTGCCAGTTATCTGAAGCTTTGTCTGAAATCACAGGAAATACTTTTCCGCCCTTTACAAATGTTTAAACAGTACGCGACAGAGCAAAGCCATATTACATGACATCCCTAACACCTAATTAAATGCTGAGGAAGTCGCACATTTGAATCATGACGATCGGCAGTTGCGTATGCTCTGCACACAAACCAAAATGGCGGCGCCCACAACAATGTCGGAAAACGGGGTGCCGATAGTCTAAGCGCAGCTCATTTAGTGGCTCTAGTTATTTGTTTTTGTGCGACCGTGGTTTGTAACATTGAAACGTGCGCAGACTGACAAGAGCGACGCGGTATCATTCAAGATGGCGTCAAGGGCTGGTTGCCTTTCTGTTGGACAGATGGCGCTCCTTTATCTAAAGGGTTAGAGTGCCTTCATACACATGCGCGCCTTTGCTTGAGTGGTGACATCTCAGCCATTTTTCCGCTCAATTGTTTTTCATGCCTTTTGAAGTGCGCGCAATCCGGTGTCACTCAGCTCGAGCGCGTAGCTTTGGCTACTGCATAGACGCCATTTTGCCGCCCAAGTCATGCAGCGAGTGCGCGAGAGCGTCACGCGCTGGCACATTCAGTGCAACAATGGATGTCTTCACCCTGAGACAGACAGACATGTAGGCACCCTATAAAGGGTCTGTAGACCCTTTTCAAAAGCCCATCGAGCAACATTGGCGGTCACAAATTCTCGGGTACGAAGTATGTGATGGGATGCGAGTCCTCGCCAAACCCAGACGCAGCCCTCGTGCGCAATACATGTTCAGAGTGCTTGCAAACTATGCCAGACTCGGATATTTGCCACAACAGCTACTAGATATGGCACGCACTATTAAAAAGGGTCCATTACGGGGTATACGGTGTCGGACTAGCGCTCTCGATAGCGCTGCGCTCAAACTTGAGGGGTCCAGTGGCGAGGGCGTTACCAGGGACAGGTGGTGTCCAGGCATGAGCGCCAGGATGTGCCTCCGCCAGCGGGTGCCGAAGCCGACGCCGACCATGAGCACCCCGAGCGAGAGGCAGGCCACGAGCAGGTTGCCCCAGAACAGGCCGTTGGCCAGCAGGATGCGCATGGCTGCGTCGACGGCTCTGGAGGACGTCCGCCGCTCCTCTTCCTCCTTGCCTTCTTGGGCGTGAGGACGCTGATGATGGTGGGTTCGAAAGGCGCTTCAGGGTACGTGCAACTCGGCGATCGCCTGGCTTCGATGTCACGTGGCTCATGGGCGCCATGTCACGACGGAATTTTGCTGGTCTTCCATGGTCCTATCGACTGTATGTAGATTTTTTTTTCGGATTTTATAGGCATGCCCACTCCCTTGTACCCTTTCTAGAGTTCCTGGAGCGCGTCTCCAACTGGTGTGTTTAGCGTCCTATTCCGCACATGCATAGCAAGTGGTCCCGAAATGGTAACACGTGACGTCATAAAAACAAGCTTGACAGGCTTGCAAAGTCAGAGCGACTGGAAGTCGCTTGGGACGCAAGCGGCAATTGACTCCGTAAGTGTGACGTCATGGGTCCAAACAAACCGTTGCTATACTTCGTTTCAGCTTCGGTCCAGACGCAGACAAAGCTACCAGCGCGGGCTCCGGGCTTTCAGCATCCCTGCCAAGCACGCGCGCTCGTGCAGTGCAAGCACTGTTCTGGGCCACATGCTCGCGCTTGTAGCATCGGCTGCGTCTGGACCGAAGCTGAAACGAAGTATAGGACCGTTGTTATGGACAGATACATGTGGCTAGGTTTCACTGCGAAAACGCGACCGGTCAAAACTCGGGAGTAGGATTTAAACTTCTAAAAATCACAGATCTATAGAAAGCTTGAATGTCATATGTGTTTCGACAGAAGTGTGCCGGCAACCTTGAGTCACGACTGTGAAATCACGCAGTCGTGACATGCTAAGGCACTGGTGCGATGACCCCAAGCTTTCACCGTGCTTTTTAAGCACACCGTAGAACTTGGCATTCGCAAGTGATGATAAGTTCTGTCAGGGCACTCATTGGCAAGGAACGCGAATTCAAATATCCATGAACGAATTGATTGCTGACGAGCGGATACATCCGAGCGACGCAGTTTTCGTGTCCCATGCGTGAGTTGGGATCGGCTGACGTCATTTTGGCCTTTGTATGCATTGTAAAGAGGATATTTAGAGCCATGGCCATACAGACATGATAATAACGTCATAGCACACTGACATTAAGGAGCCCAAACCGGGCCCAGCTACAGATAATAAATATTACACTCGTAAGAAATAATTATGTCTGTACCTTGTTAATTACAAAGACGAACACACCTCTGAGTATCTTAGTTTAATAGCATGTGTTGATGCATTGTTATATAGCAGGACATTTCATATACGTAACTTGAGCAAACGCCAGCTTGTCACTTTAAAAACAAACCAAAAAACACTGCGATCAAATGCAAGCTATTGCAACGAGAGCAAGTTATATCAAAATCTCCAGAACTGTGGCGATTAGTAAAAAAGGTTAAAGATCGCAGGAGCTTCCTCGCTAAAAATTGCTGTGATTATTCGGTGACCCACGGCTGAAACTGCGTCCCCTAAGCCCTACACGCGCCGTATACCTTTCGTTTTGATTCTTAGAAATTCAGACTTTCAAAGGAACCTCGAAAAATGCGAAAATTTTATCCTAAAAGCTATGTGGGCGCAAGTTCGTCTGCTTCTTTTGCAGGGGTTGTGACGACGTCAGAACGCTGAGATCTGAGTGACTGCGATTGAAGGATAGTGGGTAGACCTAAAAGCAATGTGCCTTGAGTCCTACTCACTATTCTTTATTCAGAACCAATCAGAGCTCGGCGTTCGGAATCACCACAACCCCTGCTAAAAGAAGCAGACTAACTTGCGCTCCGCATATCGTAAAATCGCTGATTAGTATACTTGGGGGTTGTGTGAATATTTAGACAGCGTGTAGTCGGTCAGCCATTTCAAAGTTGCGACGAGTCACTTGCTGTAGATGAGCAATTTAGGCAATGCAGTATAACCGCTAGCCCGGGGGTCTTTAGGTCTTCGTGCACCACGCAGTAGTGATACACAACCGCAGGCCGGTACGATGCTCATCCAGATCGAAGCGGGCAGGGGTGGGGATTGAACCCAGGTTCCCTGGTTGATTAGTACAAAACGTAAACATCGCAGTAGCTTCCTCGCTAAAAGTGTGTGATCATGCGGTTACCTGGGGCAGAAACAAATTCCCCAAGGCCCAACATGCGACGCATAGATTTCGCATCGATTCTCAGACACTCCAACGTTCAAATAAAGCTAATAGAACGCGAAAATCGCATGCTAAATGTCTTATCGATACTCAAACACATCTGGGAATTTGAGCACCGCTAAGGCGATATGACTGATGCTGTCGCACAGGTGCTACACTCTAAAAAAAAAGGGTATCACCTTAAACCCTTTTGTCCCATATAATACACCCCAAAACTTCATTTCGACGTACAGCGCCCTATAGTCGAACAGACGGCACCAAATTTTACCCGGGGCTTGATAACGGTGCGATATAACTTATTGAATTGCTAAAGTATGTATCAAAGACCAAAGAAGGAAAACACGGAGCTTTTGCAGTACGGCCAAGAAAACTGCGATAATCTTTTTTGTAGTCAATAATACGTACATCAGCTATCTTAATAAGTTGTACCACACGGCTATCAAGCCCCTCGTAAACTGTCTGGCCGCCTGTTCGATTATGGAGCGCTCTACGTCGAATTGAAATTCGGGGGTGTATTATATGGGACAAGGGGTGTAATAATACACCTTTTTTTTCTGAGAGTGTAATATCCAGAGTGATCTTACACAGAAAGGGCATAAAGTATCATCCTTTCAGATCTCCACGTTATACCTACGTCAGAAAGCACGAAGAAGCCCTAAATCGTCGGCAAGCTGCGGCACATCACGACTCCGCACCGAACAAACTCGCATCCACCAGCTCTGGGTGCTGCCATCTTACCGATGACATCACGGCTCTTGCGAGGTCACGGGACGAGTCGTCACTAGGTTGCTACGGAAACCGAGCCAGCTCAGCTCGTTGCTATGGTATACCGCGTGTGACCAATCGCGGTGAGAGGCGGCACAGCGAAAAGCGTGGCGCTACTCTGGCAGCTACGCTGCCATATCGAGTGGCTCTAGGTCTTGCCTCTTCAGGGAGGGAGCTTATGGCGTTGTTACGATGCCTCAGAATAAGCTCACTTTTATAGCCTGCAAAGACCTGCCGTCTCGATGGTGCGGAATGCACGTTGCCAAACTACAAAAGCTCGCCGTCAGCACGCGCTCATCAGCCGCGCACACAGCTATGGCCGCCAGGACTTTCTGCGACTGCCCAGTCAAAAGTACGGGGGCGCGCGCTTGAGTGCCGATTAAATCTGAGCCCGACCACTCCCCTTCGGGTTCGCGTCAAAACGAAACCGAAAGTAAAATGCTCTCGTCGTCTGCAGTTTAGCCCTGAGATTAGAGTGCCTTCACACACACACACGCGGTTTTGGTTGAGTGCTGACATCTCAGCTATTTTCCCGCCCAATCGTTTTTTTTATGCCTTTTGAAGTGCGCGAAATCCGATGTCACTCAGCTCGAGCGCGTAGCCTTGGCTAATGCGAAGACACCTGTTTACCGCCAAAGTCACGCACCGAGTGCGCGATAGCGTCACGCACTGGCTCATTCAAGGCAACAATGGATGTTTTCACCCTGAGACAGACAGACATGTAGGCACCCTAGCCGAAATGTTCTGGTGGCGCCCTCTTATGGTGGAGGCAAATTCTGGTCGCGACGTCACGACCAGAATTTGCCTCGCTGTGACGTCATGAGCTGTAATTTTGACTACTTGCCTTCAGTTCCGTTTCTATATAATGTGTGTAAAAATAACAGAGGAAGTTTGGAGTCATTCCATTTTTAAACACATCGTCCCAGTTGATACTCTGACAATGCGTTACTGCCGATTAAAAGAAATACTCCGTGTAAAGACGTCACAGTGAGCATCTGGCCAATCGCGAATTGCGACCGCAGTGACGCTTTTGGTCGCGCGCGTCACCTAATAGGAACGATGGCCATTTTGGTTGGACTAGCGGGAATCTTAAGAGGAAGAACACCATCTTCCCGAGGGGAACCATGGGGTGATGCGGAGCATCGCGGATCGTTATTAACGGTGTTATTAAAAGTGTTAGTAACGTTGTTGAACTTCACGGTCCCGAACCTCAGGTTCTGCTGCTCGACGTTCACGAACCAACGCGACTTCCCGTTCTCGAAGGTCGGGTTCCGCCGCTCGCTTCGCACGTTTATGTTGAACTTCACGGTCCCGAACCTCAGGTTCTGCTGCTCGACGTTCTCGAACCGCCGCTGCTTCACGTTGTCGTAGTTCAGCATCCGCCGCTCGACGTTGACGGATGGACGCCGCTTCTCGTTGCCGTAGTTCAGGGTCTGCCGCTCGCTTCAAGCGTTTGCGCTCAGCGTCGCGTGCCCCTCGCTGCGCAGCTTTGTCTTCGGTGGACGTAGCGTTGCTGTCTGTGGGGTGGTGCTGACGCTTGCTTGCGCCAACCCACTAACTGACGGGACTGTTGCTTCCATCACACTTCATCGGAAGAACGGAGTGAAGTGGAGTCAACAGCGGTGAACTGAACGCGCGCAGCGCGCTACCGCTGCTTATATTCACACTTGAAGGAGAGGAGACTAGAGGAGGAGAGTTGCGCATGCGCGCGCGGTGTAAGTAGAAGCGAACGCACGCGAACTGCACGCAGCTGGTAGAGAGAGAGAGCGGAGAGAGTAACGCGCAGCTGTTGGAGAGAGGGAAGGAGGAGAGTTGCGCATGCGTAGTGTGAGTGCGGACTACGACACCGCGGGACATAGACCCGAGCAAGAGATGCTCCGCATCTAATAGACATTTCTGTTGGACAAATAAGATTTCTAATAGTCGTATAGAAATCTCATTAGAAATTTCGGCTAGGAAGTCCATGATTAAAATATCTCAAAAAGGAGCTTTACTGCCGCGCGCATTGGTCCGTCGTTCCGATCAGTTTGAGGGGGCCGTGTCATTCGCTCTCTGCCGAATTGGGTGAAACAAAGAACAGCGACCTG